AAATTTGAACAAAGTTACTCATTGCTCTTTAAACTTTGCTAGAGGTAGCAATTGTGGAAATGATACAGATGATTAATGGGTAATTTTATTCAAATTTAAGTGAGCAACAAGTAACTTTTTAAATCTCGATGAGCAAGTAGTAACATATAGTAAAATTTAGTGAGCAAAGAGTAACCTTTTGAATTTTGATGAGCATGTAGTAACCTATAACAAAGTTTATGACCATTGATTGAATTAACTCATTTCAAATTGCATTTGTTTCACAACTTTAAAGGTCCGGTTATCGATTTTTGTTTTCACATTTTGTAAAAAAATATTTTCGAGAAAGCCGTTACGGGTCAACTTTAATCAAAAGTTCTTTTACTCGAATAAATACTTAGAAAATTATTCAAACTAACTAAAAACATTATTACAATAAGCAAACACTTTGCAAAATATTATGCGACTGCAGTCATTAACATGACAAACATAATACAAATTGAAAGTCGAAATTACCATCAAAGGAATCATATGCAACTTAACAGAAAACCAACAATTTATTGAAAAAAAAAAAAACTTTGATGTTACTCTTCTTCTTCGCAATCTCGCTGACATTTCAGAATAGACTTGGGAGATCCACACAATTCAGTGTTGACAAATTTCAGGTAGACAATCGAACCAACAATTCCCAGTTCTTCGTAGCTTTTCTCTTCTAGAGAGTAATCCTTCACATCGATGCAGTAAGTGTGCTCGAATAACTTTGAACCAAAATCAGCATGCAGAGCAACAGAAAACTTCATTGGTTTAAAACATGCCAAAACGCGCTCAATCAGAAGGCCCAAATTCACAACTTTGAAATCATAACCGGCTGCTTCAAAGCTTGCATAACTAAACCCATCCTCGGGGGTAACATGAATGGTAGACAGTGCAGCGCCTTCAATGGAATTCATGGAGTAACCACATGGATCAAAGTCAAAATCACATATTTCAGATGCCGGGAGGATCTTCCTTATACCAGATTTATTGGTCATCAGAGCTGCTGAGCTTGATTCCTTCTTGTAGAAAATAGAAGCCATATCTGTGTTCAAACCAGTCATGCACATCTCTAGAGTGTAAACCGGGTTAAAAGATTTAGCTCCTCTGGTGCAGGCGGAATAAACATGCCATTTCTGTTGTTTGTCAGAACTACCCATAACATAAGCTTTGGTGCACGAGGAAAGTTCTTTAAAATAGCTATCAAGGATAGAAACTTCTTCAGAGAAGCTACGATGAGGATATGACTGAGCTCCGGGGAAAATGAAACTCCCACGGGTATATCTCACGGTCTGTACTGAAAGAGAAAGGTCGCCAGCCAACTTCAGTATAGGAGAGATGGACAGAAGCAGTTTTGTTGTACCACAGGTTTTGATGATAATTTTGTAAGGGTAAACAAAGAGACTTGACTCGGAGAGAACATAAGAGTCTAGGTATTCATTCGAAAGTGCATCAACTATCGTGCACTCAGCAGGACCTAGAAATTCATCCAATTGAGTTCTGGAAAGAGATCGAAGACCCCTTCCTTCAGGATCAGCAAAGACGCTCGGCTCGAAGAATGAAATTTCGAGCCTCTTTTCAAAACCTTCAAAACCAATTGCAGATGCAGGCATTGTCATTACTGGGAACAAGATTTACTTGCAACACTGAAGACAGCAAAGAAGAAGGCGAATCGAAGAACAAAGAAAAGGAGAACAAAAATTAAAAAGAAAAACTAATCAATCAATCCAGAGACAAGTTAGGGATGTCAAGATGGTCTGCGAGCACACTGCAATAGATTCAGAAATTTAAATGTCAGGCATGTAAGATTAAAAAGAAAAAGAGTAAATCAAAATACTCATCAAGAAACAAATCATCCATAGTTAGTACCCAGAAACTTACATTGGAGTATTCAGCAGATTGAAACTTCTTGATGCCACCGTTTGGTCGAATGTCTTCAATGCTGTATCCAAGGGGAGCTTCGTAGAATAAGGATTTATTACTGGACTTCTTGCCACCTTCAGACTCCATTAGATCATCTACTCTTGGCTGCAAAATCACCAGATAAATTAAAAAGGCAAACAAGATTGTAAGATGATTACCTCAATAAAGTAATTGAGTATGATAATACAGAGCAGTAACACAATTTAAATTGCACATTATGAATACCAGCCATGTATGCATTCATGGGGCAGGAAACTACCGACAGATTTTCGGAAAAAAAAGGATCAACATCGTGTTAATTTTATTTTGGCAGATATTAAACACAAAAACATCTGAAACATATTACTTTAGATTTTCACCAGGACCGGATGATTTTTTTTTTTTACATAAACTTTTTTTTTCTAAGTAAAAAAAAATTAGTTGGGGGATGGAGGGGGGGCCATCCGTCCCAGGGTCAAATTTTCAAGAAGCCTTCCTTAATTTATATATTCTTTAAATAAAACTTCCATGAATGAAAAAAAATGCAGAAACAGATTGCAGAATTCTTAAATAAAAAAGCATACTTACATCACAAGATTCAAATTTTGAAAACCAATAATCCTCAAAGCTCACAGCAGACGACTAATAATTCCTACAAACAGCAAGAAAAAAAAAACATAAAATCGTTTATATAGAAATAACAATTCGATCAATTTTCTGCAATTTTAAACAACGCTTACACTATTGCTGCTTCGTTGAGGATAAATGAAACCCTAGAAAATTGTAAAACGAAATTGAATTCTCTTTTTTTTAACCCGGTTGGAGCCATGTATTTATATTGGTTGGACGCAGTTAATTATCAGTGATTTCTTCTGATATTACAGTATTTGTTTTTTTCCTTATTTTGGGTGATATTACTGAAGAAAGGGTTTGCCTAATTCATCAAGATTTTAATTTATTTTTTTCCTAAATCGTGGATCAAATTTCTCTCCTTGAATTATAACACTCGTTTTAAAAGTTTATTTAATTATTTTATTATATCCATTCAATAATTTAGTCTTCACACGAACTTCTTTTTTTTTTTTAAAAAAAGAAATGAATCTTTTGTGATTTGAACAAAATCTTTTGAAATCTCTCTTTCTTTCAGGCACTTTTTTTTTTTGATACCCATGTATCCCAATTTATATCAGATTATGTCCTGGACCACCAATCCCGGACCCTCAGCGATGGGTGGAAGTTAATCGCAGTATATGCCCAAGTTGATCATGGTCCGTGCACCCTTTATACTCCTGGCCTCAAGGGCGCCTTTCTCCATGAATACTACATCACCAAGCTGCTCCACCCACAATTGAGTATTACATCACTCAGCTGCTCCATCCAGGATTCGAACTCCTCACGCTGAGGTTGCAAGCCCAACAATGCTCGTCCTTTGCCAACTCGAATGTACCCCGGGGGCCTTTCTCTCTTTTATTACACCATATGATGTTGGTACTTGGTACATACCTTTGTTCAAATTCGGGGTGGAAGAATGAAAAAGAATTTTTTTTTTTAAAATCCCAAAGCGATTTCTTAGTAAAGTAACAATTTTATTTTGCATACACAATGAACCGTTAAGAAACTTTGATATTATTTTATAGTTTCTTATCTTTCTAGAGACCATGCAACTCCAGAGAAAATTTTGTAAGATTGTGTTTGGTTTGACTTTTTTTTTCATGAAAAATGTCTTTTTCCATCAAAATTCTTACTTTTGGTGTGTTTGATTGACAATTTTTTCATTAAAAATATTTCCTAAATTTTGATCATATTTTTCCTTAAAAATAAGGAAAATATTTTATATGGGAAGTGATGATTTTTATTTTCTAGCTAATTCACTATTTCTTTCTCTCTTCCATCTATAACTTCTTTCTCATTTACCCATCAATAAAAAATAGACAAATATAATATTTTTTTAATTAAAAACTAAATCAATCAAACACATTTAATTAATAATTTACATACAAATAATTTCTAGGTAATTGAATTACCTAAAATTTATTTTATTTCCATACTTGCAATCAAATATATCCCAAGTGCTTTTGTCAATGTAGAAAATTTTATATTTGATTAGAAGACTCGAAGAGACTGTATATTGTGTTAATATGAATGTAAGAATATCATTAAAAATTAAAATAGAGTGAAACTATTATTATTAATCATATTATAGCCATCTTTTTCATTGTCTTCATATTAGGGAGTCGGTTGATAAAATTTTTAAATTTTGATAAAAGTTGATGAAAGTTGAGACTTTCATTTAAATGTGTGGTTGAAAATTAATTGTTAACTTTGACTTCAACTTTTTAAAATACATTTTAAAATAGGTGTAGCCCTATCAAGAGAGCAAACTTAGAAGCACTAGAATATAGACATGTTCAAAAGGAAGATTAGGTCTAATTGACTCCACCAAATGCTATTATTGCTTGAATGCAAAGTTACATGAACGTTGATTATTTTGCATACCAAACTTGCACTACAATGCTAGCATTACCATCAAGTGCAGCTATTGCTTCATCTAATCGTCCAGAAACCAAACACTAAAACTTTTTGATCATAAACCTCATCAGCCAGTCTAGGAATCCTCAAATAATTTTGACATAAAGGGCGTGTCCAGTGCCCATATCCAACCTACCGATCCAAAACAAACTCTATGAGAAATATGTTTGTAATATTTCAGCTCTTAACTTCATCTTCTTCATTAATATTGCATAGGCAAATTGCACATTCTACTGCATCCATAGAATCAATCATATTTTGCAGCCCGATACGTGTTCCACTGAATACATATTTGATAAATTGTTTTGAAACGAACTGATTGACGAAGGATTTGGAACATGTTTCAGGCAGAGAAAATAAAGATTGCTGAGGGGAATTTTACCTAGGACTGGACAAAAGTATCGAACCGAACCGAACCGAATCGAGCGATTCTTCTTAAATTAAATACCCGAACGGGTATTTGAATCGAGAACCGACGGGTTCGGTTCGATTCTCGATTCTAAACCAAGAACTGAAGTACTAATTAAGAACCGAATCTCCCAAATTTTTTAAATTTTTTTATCTTAAATAAGTCAAATTATTTTATTTTTTAAAAAAAATTTGCTAACTAATTAATTTAGTCCAACCCCAAAATATGATTTTACTATTTCTAATTTCCAACCAAGCATAACTCAATCAAANTTTTTTATAAATAAGTCAAATTATTTTATTTTTTCTAAATGAATTTGTTATCTAATTAATTCAGCTCAAACGTAAAATATGATTTTACTATTTCTAATTTTCAGCCAATCCCAACTTAATCAAATTGACCTAAGATTTACTCAAATCTCTTATTCTATCATAGTGTCGTTTATTATTGTGAACTCATCGTCTTCTTCTTCTTGTGATTTAACAGTCAAATCTATGAATAACTCAACAAGGAGAGGTGCAAAAGATATCACGAAATTGGACCACGTTATTTTGTAAGATTTAAGATTGAACATGTCACAATCGAATTAATGTAATGTTGTTGTAATATAAAAAAAATTTAATTATTGTATGAAATTCGGGAACTAAATAGAACCGAATGGAACCGAACCCGAACGGTTCCATAATTAAATTTGGACCCAATGGTTCTATTTATTAAATACCCGAAAATTTGGATTCGATTTGGTTCGAACTGGACCATGCGCAGCCCTAATTTTACCTTTAACATTTTCGAGCAATTGTATATATCTTCTTGTGGCAAGATGGGACCCAATTAATTAGCTGGACTCTACTATTCGTTTTTACCTGAAAATGATGGTGTCAACTTAATTGGACCGGATCATATCACATCGATTAAAAGTCCTAGGCAATTTCTCATTGGCTAGTGCCTAGCTTGGATAGGATAACACATTAAGTGGAAATTAACATTTTGACTGCACAATTCAAAAATAAAATTTACAAGTTTTTTATTCAAAAATCAGATAATTCAAAATTTTAATATTAGTTAATATATTATAAAATTAAATTAATACACGTATCTACCCACCCAACCCAAACACCCACCCATTCTCTTCTATCCTTTTTCTCTCTATACCCCTCCATTCTCTCCTCTCTTTATCACCGTTAGAGATACCGTGACGCGACGCTCAAAACTCCACCACTACAACGACATTGCTCTAAAGCAGCCAACGTCACTTCGAAGAAGAAATCAACACCACGGATCTGTTAAGAAGACGTCAACCACAGGTCTATTATAAGCAATGACGACGCCACAGCTTCATGGTGGTCGCGTATTTGTGTGTCGACTCTAAGGGTGTGAACCTGTGGTGGTGCGATGGTCTGAGGTGGTGTGTGCGGTGGTGATGCTAGTGGTGTTGGTGCGGTGGGTGGAGGTGGGGTGCAGTAGCGATGGTTTTGGGGTTTTGGGTTGGTCTCTTCCTCCAATTTGCTTCGTCGGAGCTTTTGGGGGTGCGGTGCAGTGGTGCTGGTCGTGGCAGTGATGAGTTATTTTGGATCTTTTTATTTTGGTGGTTTTGATGCTTGAGTGAGGTGATGTTTGGGTGGTGCCCGCCAATTTTTGTGTGGTGTTTAGGTGGTGCTCAGCCAGTGTTTTTGTTTTTGTTTCTATTTCAGATTGTGAAGTGGTGGCGGCGGTGAGGCGGTGTCGGTTTTTTGGCTTTTGTTTCTATTTTCTTTTGTGAGTTTCAAATTGTGAGGTTATGTTGGTGGCAGCGGCGGTGTGACAGTGAGGTGGTGCTGGCTTTTTGTGCTTTGTTTCTTTTTGTGGGTTTCAGATTGAAAGGTAGAGGTGGCGGTGTCGACTTTTTGGGTTCGTTTTCTATTTTTGTTTGTTACAGATTGTAAGGCAATGTTGCCGGTGAGGTGGTGGTTATGACAGTGGTGTGGTGATTGTGGGTGGGATTTGCGTGGGGTAGGGTTTGTAACTAATTATTTGGTTGATTGTGATCAATAATTTAATTAATTTGTGATCAATAAATAATATGTAACAAATTATTTGAGACTGTGACCAATAAATTGGATATTTTGTAACCAATATGATCGATAACTTGTGACTAATAAATAATATGTGACCTAAAAATTTGAGTTGTGACTTATGTAATTTGTGATTGATAATTAAATTGCGATCTACAATTTTTTTGATTTGTGACCTATAAATTTTTTTATATGTGACTAAGAAATAATTTATAACTAATTGATTTAATTATTTGTGATCAAATACTATAGAATTGTGATCTTAATATATCTAATTAATATATATATTTTTAATTAATTATTTCATAAATACAATTTAATTAATGTCCGATTTTTAAAAATTTAAACATTATTTCTTAGTTTTAAAATGAACAATATTTAATTTTTTAAATAAGAAAATCCCAATTATTAGTGTCCCATCTGGATCCACATGCCTTATATCCTTTATAGAACCTTGTTACACTTACACACTTTGGTACATGATTTCCTACACAACCCTCTTACATGTGTGTGGATCCCACAATGCTGACACAGCTGACTGTTTTTTATTGGATAAAGGCAAAAAAAAAAAGAGTGACCAATCAAATCATGATTGATTAGAGCGAAAATATATTGAATTAATCGAAAACATTTAACGCATTAAAGCAAAATTCTGCCCCTTAAGGCCAGAATCATGTCCGAAACCATACGTGCTTAGTGCAAAGCTTGGTATATGATTGTGTGCTTAGGTTGACATGCGTATAGTGTATGCCAATCTATGTTGGTTCCAAGTTCGATTATTGAGCAGTGTTTAATTTTAAAATATCAATCATGTTAAGATGAGTAATTCGAGTTTTATATATTAATTATTTATTTC